GTCTGACTTTAGGCATAAACCTCAGTGAGTAGAATGAACATACTATAAAGTAGTACCTAGCTGGGGATATATAGCTTACTGCGGTCATCAAATATGCATTTTTTTTAAATTTCATTAAGAACAGTTTTAGTGTTTTGGGGGGTTTTTTAGTCCTGAAACTTTTTTTATTATTAATTTACATTCATTCCCTGAGCATCATCACAACATACTAAATGTGGTTTCCCATCTAGAATAAACTGCATAGTGGCTTAACCATGCATTTTATCATCAATAATATTCCATTTATACTTTCATATATGTGTGTGTGTGTGTGTGTGTGTGTATATATATATGTATATATTTTACCCCATGTCTGACCCTCTGCCCTTTCCACTCTCTTATTATACTATCTCTGCTGTCTACAATTGTCTTCAATTCCTTTTCCCCCAACATTTTGTTGATCACACAATATCATAAGTAATCTAACTACTTTCAATGGCAAGTTCAGCTGGTAATTTCAAGAAAAGCAGTTTTGAACTGGTAATGGATATTTCCTTGAAACTTAAAGCCTAGAAACAGGTTAGTATTCTGTTCAAATAGTAGGTACATGAATCTATTGACAGCTCAAGACAGGACAAAAATCCTTAAAACCGGACAACAAAGCTTAGAAGAAAAGCAGCAATAATACAGTCAAGTCACAGAATGCTGTTTCATCAGTTCAGTCTCATGTACTTAATCTTTCTTCTGTTGTGGTCAATCTTCCAGATTGAACTCTGGAATTAACGTAAAAAAAATAAATTTAAAGTTTTAAAAAAAAAGAACTTTGAATGTTCCTGACACACAAAAAATGATGTTTTTGAAATACTGGATATGCCAATTACACTCACATGATTCCATCACATTGAATTCTTATATTGAAAAATAACACTTACCCCACAAGTAAATACAGTTAATATAATAATAATATAGAGAACTTCAAAATGAGTAATCTGGTTTCAGTGGATTTGTACTTTGTTAAATACATTTCTGTACTATTTTATTGTTTTCCAATTAATTTATAAAAATTACTTATTTAGGTTTTTGCCGTGGGGAATGTGTGCTTACCAGAGAGACAGTGAAAAGGTTAGAAATCACCCCCCAAGGGAGATGGCCACACCACAATCCTCTCTCCTCCATTCTACTCCTGAGTTTGGGCACACACAAATACCTGGCATGATTTTCAAGCCACTGGGTCCAGAACTGGACTCACGGTCAGCCATGTGGGAGTCCAGAGCCTCAACCACCATAGCACCTGCTAGCCCTGTCAAATTTATTTTTACTAAGCTTTTTCCAAGAGGAGAAAAAAGGATATTTTAGTATCAGCCGAGACTTATTACTGGAGCCAGAAAGTTTTAAGAAAAAAAAAAAAAAAACACAATATCACCATGAGAGAAAAACTATACAGTCATTTCTAAATCCAAAGGGACAGTATTTATTTTGGCTGCCTCTATATGCAGCTGAGATCTGTCCTGGACACTCATTGGGGACTGCATACTTCCCAAGTGGTCCGCAAGGAAGACAAATTCTCCACAGACAGGTGACTGAGCTTCTGGGATATCTGGATAAAAGCTCACCATTGCTGATGGGTCTCCCATCAAACACTCTTGCATAGAAAGCAAAGGCACTGTAAGAAACAGAGGAACTTGAGATCCTAAAACCCCCAAGCATCAAGTGCAGTGAGTTCAATAGGGAGCCAAGGGAACTCAAATCTAAAACGCTGTGGTTGATTCTCACACCGTATCTGTGTGCAAAAAGGTTGAGATGTGCTATAAGCATATAAAAAGACAAAAAGCAGGTCAGAAATGGTAAAGAAAAAAAAAAGCATAGAAAGTCAGCAGACACAGGTAAGAATGAAAGCACTGTGACCAGATGCCAGATAAATGAGTAAAACACATTGGGTTAAAGTGTTCCAGCAGTGAGCTAGCAGGTGGCCTGGAGGTTAGGGCTCTGGATCCCACAGTGCCAACTCTGCAGTTTGAGTCCCAGACCTGGCGGCCTGAAGAATATGCTGGATATGTGTGCATTCATGTCTAAAAGCCCAAGAGGAGAATGGAGGCATGACCTTCCCAAGGGGGACGATTTCTCACTTTCACTCTCTCATTTTCTCTGTCTCTCTCTGGCCACCACAGATAGAAATCTAAAATTAATAACTTTCAGCAGTTGTTGAAAAATCAGACAAGTCTATTTGCAGAGACAAACCTTCTTGTTAAGTCAAATCCCTGGGAAGTTAATCACTGGGCCCTTGTTTAAGTCCTTCATTACAACTTGAACATGCCATGTTCCCTGGGCGAGGCTTAGGCCGACACTAGAGTAGCTAAGAGTGTAATGCACATTTTAAACACGAAGGGGTCTGGCTCCAGGAGGAAGCACTTAGCCACACTGCCAGAGAAGGCAGCCCTGGGCATACTGGGCCACCTGCCTGCTTTATGAGGTATCAAAGCATAGCCGTGAGTTATTATTAAAAGCAAGTGAAAGCGAATGCAGGAATCTAATCACTAGTATCAAAACAGATTAAATGAGAATGACAAGATTATGTCAGATGTAGTTTTATAGTTCAGAGAATATAACAGAACATAGAATATACTTTTTTCTGGGACAAGCAGATGAGAGAGTGGCTATGTCAGGGGACTCCCATGCAGTGGAGTTCAAGTTCAAGTTCCTGACCCGGTGGTTTAAAACTCATCTTGGGGGGAACCTGCAGTTAGCGTAATGGCTATGTCACTGGACTCCCATGTAGTCGACTGCAGTTCATGTTCCAGACCCGGTGGCTTAAAACTCATGCCAGACGTGTGTGCATGCATGCTCAAGATCCCAAGAGGAGAACGGAGGAGAAGGGATCACAGTGTGGCCATTCCCCTGGGGAGTGATTTCTCACTTTCTGTCTCTCTGTCTCTCTCTGTCTGTCTGTCTGGCAAGCGCTCACGTCCCATAGCAAAAACCTCTCAAAAAAAAAAAAAAAAAAAAACACAGTGTGTTCATGCACAAAATTCCAAGAGGAGGATGGAGGAGAAGGGATTGTGGCCTGGCCCACCTCCCTGGGGGTGATTTCTCCCTTTCTGTCTCTCTGTCTCTCTGTGTCTCCCCAGCAAGTACATGCACCCTATAGCAAAAATCTCTAAGGAAAAAAAAAAATTTTTTTTTGTCTATTTCTACAGAATGTTTTCAAAACTACAGGTTTAAATACTTACAACTCTGGGATTCAATATGATCACAGAACCTGGTTCAGTTTAGTTAGTGGGATACTCCAATAACCAAAATGGCTTCTAAATAAAATGGGTGTGACCCAACAAATACTTGACAGAACACTGGTTCAAAAATAATGTCTATGGGGCTAGCAGATGGCATGGTGGTTAAGGATTCCCACATGGCTAATCATGCCTCAAATCCCAGATGTGGCAGCTTGAAAATCATGCCAGTTAAGGACTAGGAGGTACCATGGTGCTTAAGGTGCTTAACTCCCTCTTGGTTGAGTCCTGGACCCAGTGTCTTAAATATCATGTTGGGCAGGTATACGTGTATGTCCAAAATTTCAAGAGAAGACTGGAGAAGAGATTGCAGTATGGCCATTACCCTGGGGGATGATTTCTCACTTTTTGTCTCTCTAGTGACCATACATGCCCTATAGTAAAAATCTCTCAAAAAAAAAAAGTGAAAATCATGCCAGGTACGTGTGCATGTGTACTCAAAATCCTGAGAAGAGAATGGAGGAGAAGGGACTGCAGTGTGGTCATCCTCCCTGCGGGGTGACTTCTCACTTTTCCTCTCTCTTGTTTCTTTATTTCTCTCCAGTGAGCACAAGTGCTCTATGGTAAAAACCTTTATTTTTTTTTAGAGAGATTTTTTGCTATAGGGCACGTGCCCTCGCCAGACAGAGAGAGACAGAGAGATAGAAAGTGAGAAATCACCCCCCAGAGGGGATGGCCACACCACAATCCCTTCTCCTCCATTCTCCTCTCAGGATCTTGGCACGCCCACACACGTGCCCAGTGTGAGTTTAAGCCACCGGGTCCAGGCCTCGAACCGCAGTCGACTCCATGGGAGTCCAGCAACATAGCCATTACACTAACTGCTGGTCCCGGTAAAAACCTTTTGAAAAATTGTTTATACAACCAGGTCTGATTATACAATCCAGATTACAAGTAGCACTTTTTTTTTTGGTGGAGAAGGGGGACTGGCACAATACTGAGAAGTCAACAAGGCTGCCATGAATATGACAGAATGAACATATCTAGCTGTCTAGAAGAAAGACAGGCAAATACTAAGGTGAAAATGTCAGGCAAATACTAAAATTATTTTTATTGTATTTCTGTCAAGGCTGACCATTACATGTTTATGAACTGGCTATGTTTTCTCTTGTGAATTATTTGTTCATGTCTTTTGCCCAATTATCTAGCGATCTACTTCAATTTGTCCACAAAACGTCATCGCATGATATTGATTAAATCTAACCATTTCTGCATATGCTAGTGTAAGCTATTCCAATCAATATGTTTTACCCGCTACCAGATAGGGGGAAAGAAAAGTAAGAGTAACTTGAGAGTAATTCCAGATAGGGAGTTCCCTCCTATGTGACTACAAAGTAGGGAAGAAGTACCTGGCTCCATGACAAGCATCCCCATTTCCACAGTGGAGGGCTGCACCCTACTGTAGTAGATCAGGTGTTCCACATTTTGATCAAACTTGTGTCCATCAGTCAAGGAGACCTGAGGAGGGGACAGGCTAAGAAGCCACATTAGAACTATCACTGTTTGCTTTCTGCAGCTGAAATCAAAGGAGAAACCTATGGGTGTCTTCCAAGAGTGAGCTGATCAGGAAGCAAAGGTGACAATGGAGGGAAGGTTCTGGACATTAATGGGCTGAGGAAGGCACACAGTGCAGCTTCTTCTGGGTTATAGGGAAAAGCAAGGAACATTCGGGAAGGACTGGGTCAGGTTGGAGGAACAGAGATGCTGGTGACAATACAGCTCTCTCACTAACTACCTGAGCAGCGGTCTTGTCATCTCCCAGGTACTTGACAGGACTTGAGGAGCAGTTGGACTGCACCCTTTCAATACTGTGCTGGGAACTGATAGTGGTGACCATGCTGAGTGTATAGGGCAGGTCCTCCGGAGGAACTATCGGAGTCTTCATGTTAACACAACTGTCCTCAGTCTTCCTACAAAGGTTACCTGAGTTCAGTTTTCCTGCCAACACTTTTTAACATACAAGCAACCTGAAGAGTTCCCCCATGATGTCACCATGCCCAGCATTCAAAGGGGAGCGATACTTACCAGAGAGCTGATATCTAGGATTCAGAATGGCCGGGAGCACATAGCGCAGGGCCCCATCTGCTCCCAAGGGCAGCTCCTGCACATACTGCCGTGTGAGTGCGACCTTTGATCCAAGTTGGAGGTTCCCTATGTTACAACAGAAGACGTCCCTGGAGTACTTGTCCTCCTTTAGCAGGAGGGCCTGGTGGCCCTGGGAGAGGGCATTCTCATATTTGGTGTGGGCCTAAGTAGAACAGGGTGATGGATAGAGAAAAAAAAGTAACCTTCGAATTTACCATCACGGTTAAGTGGTGAATAGTGCAGGAACAAAGACAGGTAGGAAGAACTGGGACTGTCTTATCAAGGATACAGCTATACTTCAAGTGCCTCTAATTAGTTTTTCCTCAAAAATGGTTTTAGGAAAACAACAGAAGGACATGAAGGAAAGAACATTAGACTTCAGATTTTCTGTAACACTGCCTTCTATAGAGACCTTAGAGAGCATGGGAGAAAGAAACAAGGGAGGTAATCCACTCATCCCTTGACCTTCATCTTGTCCTGTAGTTCTGCCACAATTTTCTTCCCATCCACCCAGGCCTTGAAGCTGTAGACAGCAGAGTCTTCATCCATGGGGAACACAAAGAAGGTCTCCAGAAGAACCTTCTCTTCTTTCTCAAGGGACAGAACAGAATTCTAGAGTAAATGATAGAATGCCTCCTGCAGGACAGGAACTGAGTAGGCAGCAAAGATACAAGGCAAGAAAGAGTCTCGAACCAGGCTTACTTGGGTCTTTCTGGAGGGTGAGGAGACCACAGGAAGACACCATGGTAATGCAGTGTTTCTGCTGAAAAGACATCACAGAGTGATGTGTTAGGAACCATCTATTCAAACACCAGATCTTGCGAGCTCCTTTCTAGCCTAAGAATACATTCCGAGGGTTAATGTGGGAGCTGGGAAGAGGGAGACCAAGATCTCAACTCCTTTGGTATATTGAAATAGGTATCAGTACCTTACCCCTGAGCCTCGGTACTCTCCTTTTAAAGTGAGAACATCATACCTACACATTGTATGTGAATTAATACATGTGAAGGCCCTCAATGGTGCCAGGCACAGAGGCAAGTAGTCCATGTCCTAGATGCTGGTATTGCTCCTGTTATCACTGCTACAGTTGTTCAGGAAACTGCCACTGGGCCTGCTTTGGTTCATGCTATTCAGAGACTGCAGATGGGAAGCTGTATGATCCTAACTGACTCTTGCAACTTAGAACTCTTCTTCTGAGGCTCATAATTGATACCACTGTTGGTTTTCTCTAAGATATTCTAATGTCAGTCTTATATAGGCAACGTGCCTACTATTTTAAATCAGGCTCTCCTAAACATAGCTCCCAAATTTTATCATAACCCAAGACAGCCATTTCACATGATGTGGTAACAAACAGATACATTTGATATTTCTAGGTTATGATTTACATTACATTTCTTTTATCCAGATTTTGTAGGGAGAGGGCTGGGCTAGTGACACCCCCAACCATTCTGAATGGGGCCTTTACCCGCTCTGTCAATGCATGACCTGATATGCAGCTCCAGCACAGGAAAGGGCATTTTCCCTGCAAACACAGCTTTGGGAGTTACATGGCACTGCCAGCACACAGAGGATGCAGAGTAAAATGAAACTAATGTGCTTGTCCAGAGGCTCAGGGACAGCTGAGTCATTGAGAAAGTACCTGACTGGAAAAACACAAGGACTCATAGAAAGGCAGCTTTCTTTCTCTTTTTTTCTTTTAATTTAAAATTAAATATAATTTAAAAAAAGAAAATTAAATAAATTAATGTTAAATAAATAAAATAAACAGCAACTTTAGACAAAAAAAAAAAAAAGGAGGGGTGAAACCTTATATCTTTGGCCTTTTTAACCATCACATACAAACCAACTACTTACAGCACACGCAAAAAAGGTACTGAGATACTCAGAATAAGATTTTTTGTTGTTGTTTCTTGCCTTTTTCACATGTTTTTTTTGTTTTTGTTTTTGTTTTTGTTTTCTCATTTGAGATAGAGTGAATATGGGCATACCACAAGTAATGTTGAAACAGGACAGAGAAGGCATCTGGACATCCAAGATCATTCAACAAGTCTGATCCCTAATGATATGTACAAAAACAAAATTGCAATAAAAAACACAAACCAACTTTCCTTTTTAAAGTACTTTTAAGAAAAAAAGCAGGCCTTGGAAGTTTGGTTCTTTTTCCCTGTCCTGTTGCAAATTTGCGTTGAGGTTTTGCTGGGCACTAGCTTTTCTAGAACTGCCCCATGAAGGTCCTAGGCCTCAGTGTTCACCGATCGCCATTTATTATTGTTGCTGGTGGTGGTTGATGTTTGTTTTTGCACAGTACGCATGCCTCATAGGAAAGAGACTGTGAAAAAGAGACAGTGAGAAATCACTCCCCCAGGGGATGGCCACACTGGAATCCCTTCTCCATTCTTCTCCCGGGATTTGGGGCAGGCCGGTACAGTATCCCAGCATGATTTTCAAGCCACCAGGTCCTGGGACTCCAATTGCAATAGGCCTGGTAGGAGTCCAGAGCCTTAACCACTAGGCCACCTATTCCTCCCCCATCATGATTTACAACCCAGAGCCCCATCCTAATTCAAAACCCAGTCTCTGAGATCATCCATCAGATGGTGATACTTCTCACAGGCCTTGCCTCGCTCCACAATCAACACCAATAAGTCAGGCTTTTCTTTTCTTTTTTTTTTTCTTTTTTTTTTTTTTTTTGGAGCGGGTTTTGCTATAGAGCAAGTGTGCTGGCCAGAAAGACAGGGAGAGACAGAGAGATAGAAAGCAGGAAGTCACCCCCCAGGGGGGATGGCCACACCACAATCCCTTCTCCTCCATTTTCTCTTGGGATCTTAGTCTTGCACACACACGCACCCAGTGTGAGTTTAAGCCACCAGGTCCAGTACTCCAACCGCAGTTAACTACATGGCAGTCCAGCGACATAGCCATTATGCTAAACTGCTCTGTGTTTATTTTGAGCAGCTGGTTTAAAGCTGAGTGACTCAAAAAACGCTTCAGGACTTACCACAAGGCAGGGCAGTGTCAGCTGTGGGGACAGAGGCCGGCTGCAGGGGTCCCCGGGATGGGGGGCCT